AACGCGTAACGGACGCATTCGGGGTCGATTTGGCAGGCGGGGCGGGCTGGTGATGGCGCGCGGGGGTTGCCGGCCACGGAGATGGGCGGCAGATCACCCGCGCTATCTTAATCATAGATAACAAGTATAATCTGCGATAGCGCTACATCTTAGAGGTGTTTATTTAATTCTTGCGTTAAAATAGCGAATTAACGCGTAATTAAGGGGAGCAGGGAGAATTGCCGAAACATCCTCTAATTAGAGGGGGAGACGAGGGCGTTCTCCACCTCTAACTAGAGGTATATAGTGGGCGATGTAGGTGCAGTTTTATATGAATCATCCAAATGATTTGATACGTCTCGTATGAGTCTCTTTCTCCACTTCTCTCACGCAATTCACATGGTCCCAGGATTTCGCAAATCCACTTGTCCGCAAATTTCTGCATGTTTATCCAGAAATAACATCCACCGTCTCGGAGTTTTGGCAAGCCGCCAAGTACGTCGAAGAGATCGAAGATGAGGAACTATCTCCGATGTGGGCGGACTGGGAGGTATCTCCATATCGCCATTTCTATGTCCGTGAGCTGGCACAGCGTACAAATCAAGATTTCGTTATACCCGTGAAGTGGGTTGTTTACAAGCACAAAGTACACGCAGAAGCGTATGCTGTCAGCCAAGAATCGGTAAGGCTCTGGTCTCGATTAATGTTGCATCCTGATTCAATAGTTTAGTCGGGGATTTTCACTATCGAGGACCACGCACTAATTCGAGTACCCGCCTCAGATCTCCGCTATAATTTTCTCGACCTTCAAGCACAAGCGGATATCATCTTCTCAAGTATTATTATCTCCTGTGTGATGTTCGACAGCTAACCTCGCTTCCTTCCAGATACTCGGACCGATTTCGTGCCATTTAGTCCCCATCCAATTCGAGAGGTGGCACTTGGTCGGCCAGTCTTCGTACTCCGAATCATGCCTTGGGCCGACGATGTTTCCGGCAACCGAAGCAAGCAATATAATGCGCATATGAATCCAACCAGTGCTGCCAGTTCAATGCTGGTGGTAGCTGAATCACAGGCGACAAACAGCTTGGTTTCATAGTTTGCACTGATGCCTGGGTAATGGAGTGCGGCTTTGGCAAGGCTGGTTTTGCCGATTCCACCGGTCCCAAGAATTGCTACTCTAGGTGCTTCTTCATTGCTGAAATTTTGAAGGATTTTGTGGAGTTCTGATTCCCGCCCATGGAATATCTTGGGTTTAGCTGGCAACAACCCAAAGGAAATCGAGCTTTCAAACATGATTAGCTGGCATGATGGAGCTGCAAGGGACTCTGGTACCTATTTTGTGAGCCAGTGAAACTCTGGTCCATCTGATTGTTCAATAATTAGTTCTGTTCCCATAGACATAGATCATTGACATACAGAGGATGTCCTGTCTGAACTTCCCTCTGTCATGTTTAAGATCAAGTCGAGGAGTTCCTCATGTAACTTCTCTGTCTTTCCTTGCATTTTGAGAGTATCTGCCAAGATTGCGGCACCGGTCTCGATCTATTTTCGGAATTCACATGTGCTCAATCGGACATTGACATACAAATCATACCTTGAATGACTCCAAAGCCTGTTGAAGTCCTGCCTGACACTCCTTGAAGAGTATTCTCATCTCGCTTTGGCGAAGGAAGTGTTTGAACCTGCTCTTCTCTTGCTGGCCTTCTACAAATGTATGTATCTTGTGCAGAGTGCTAATCCATGTTAAATTTCAGAGCGACAATAGCATTTGACAAACTTACTTTGTGAACTTTCCAATGTGATCCAGAGTTGAAGGTGGAAGGGACCCCTGTGGCTCCGATTTCATATGAAGCTTGGCAATAGCAAATAGAATTTGATGTATGTCCTTCATGAGATGGACACACTCATCCTTGTTGTTTTCACATTCTGAAAATCCAAGTCAGTGTGGCAGTATGTGGGAGGTACTCTCTTCTGTTACCTGCACTGCAGGAAGTAGGTTGAGTGTTGTGTTTGAAATGGCATGCATGAAGGGAGTTCCGAGACCATCATGGAGGTCATTCAAGAGTGGAAGAACAGCATTCACGCAGGTTATGATGCTGTTAAGCTGGATATCGCTAATGGTGGGTTTGTGGGGCATCTTGAGGTGGGATAGAAGAGGAATCCAGGGCCTACGATGCATATTTATATGCAGTGCTACTAATCTTCCCCATCAAGTTCATAATCACCTTCCCATGGTATGATAAACGGCCGCTGCATGGCCCCTTGATACATCCTGATCAGCATCATTCTGTGGGAAGGAGTTGAGCAGTAGAGGACTTGCACGATGATACCTGCATTTGGTCTTCGTTGTGCGCATGTGTGCTGTTCAGGCTCCTGGTCACAATTACAGTCAATGATCGCTTCTCCTCACAAAGCGTCAACTCCGGTATTATCCAGTCGTCAAATTATGTTCGATGGTATCTGCGGTTTATCCCATGGCACGGGGAGCGATCAGAAAGATGAGTACAGCCTTCCTTGGTGCGGGGACTCAGGGCAATCAGACGAAGATACGCACTCCAACTTTTCTGATGATCTGGGAATCAGTGCACCAGTGAGGCTCCCCTTCCCACGCGCGTGAGATGAAGAACACACCGAATCGCTGCACATGGTGTATTCACATCTGCCGCTGTTCTATACATCTTCTGTAGATCCGTTGCTACAGCCCCTTTGACTGATGGGAATTTCTCAATGCGACGTCACGCTGTATGGCGGAGTGACACGGAAGAAATGAAAATTTTTGTGCGGCGATGATTTGACATTCAGGGCGAATCCGTGCATGCGCACGGCGACTACACAGATCATCGTACACTCACACGGCTCGTCACTTTCCACCAGTGTGCAGGTGGCAGGAATAGTCTGATGCGGCGAAGCAATCGGAGCGTGTGACCACGAAGAGGAGCGATCAATCACTGGGTCGAGGTGTGGATGGGGGAAATAGGAAGTCGGTGTGGGCATCGGGCTCGCGGAAAGCAAAGAAAGGTGGGAGAGGGTGGTCGTGCTGGTGGTGCTTCAACTGGGTGCCGGCAGCACCGAAGCAGCAGAACGCACGCCCTGGAGCAGGGGAGAGATTGAAGAGACTCTCAGGCTGAGCGCCTCGGCCATCCATGCACACGAGACGAGTTCGCACCGTGCTGTCCCCCTGTGCTGTGGTGTCCTTCCGGTAATACTAGTGTTTTGCTCCGTCTACCGTGGATTCAAGCACCAACGATGCAGACGATGGCGGAGATGGCAGCGACGTCGACTCGGATGAGAGCAAGAGGAGAGAGAGGTGGAGATGTAAACGATCGATTGCCCCTCCGACTTCGAGTGATGCGAGTCCTTGCTTCCGACGGTCATCTTCAAGCGGCTTTCATGCGGCGGCTGCTCTAACCTGCTTGATTGCTTGTATGCTCTGTGCAAGTGCTTCTGCTTCCTGCCTTCCTGTTCAATCACCACTGAAACAGTGCAGTGGCTTGCAGTCACGAAATCTAATGCTTAACAAGTAAGCCAACAAGTCTTAACTCTAATCACATTAAACTCCAACAACAAATCACGCCAATAGTCTTATCATTATTCAGTTCGGGGTGATGGTGCTCATATCAACCCTTCAATTTCAATGGAAAGACCACAAGTACTTTATTCGTAGGAAGATCCGCCTTTATAGCCAGTGTCTCCAGATGTCTTATCAACAGGGGTTTTGTGGTTAAGTTCCCGTTTTTGCAGAAAGATTTATCTAAGGCAATCTTTCCCAAAAAACTTAAAGAATCTCAATGCACCTTTTAATTGCATTGAAATTTGCCTTTTCGAGTGCTTTGGAAGGGTTGCTGAATGTTCATCATTCAGCTTCCCTTTCACATCTCATTAATATTCAATAAACATGTGAAGTTTGAAAGCTGATTGCGGCCCTTTCCACTGTAAATTCCGAACTAACTAATAGAACAATGTTTCATGAATCTAATTTGACTACAGATTGATACAATTCCCTCTAACATTCTGACCTATGTCAATATTTTCCTTTATTTGGTGCGCCATGTGTTGCGGTTTCGGTGCTGTGGCTATACCTACCAGCATGGAGGCGGGCACAGGAGGTTTGATAACGACGACCAGGACTGCGGGGTGATGCACTGGATCATCGGTGAGAGCAAGCTTGTGCTGAGCAGAGGCTTCTGACGAGCGACTCTTGCCAAGTTACCACCAAGTTGCTCACCCTCGACCGTTATTGGTACTGAGTAGTTCCAGGGCTTCTGCGATTCCTTTGTATTGGTACCTGGGTTTCATCTTCGCGCCAGTAGTCGACACGATGACGGCGCCAAGAAAGAAAACCGAGTGAAGTGATACTGCCGGCTGCTCATGCACGAGTATGTTTTGAAATATAGCCCGTGAACTGTAATGTGGTTCTCATCCCTCGGCGCGACTACTATAGCAAGCGTTCGGCCGATCTCGCTATCTCCACTCCCGCGAATTTCATCGCCCTGTCTCCGTGCAAGAGACCAGCGAGAGGTGCAGACCTCCGCTACCTAGTCTGCTTTAACTGGCTGCTCCTTCCATAATACAACCCTTCTTTTGAAGTGGCCTCAAGCAAGACGCGGAAGATTGGGCATTGTGTCTAAGCACACTGGAAATGGTGCGAAAAACTATCCCTCACGAGACGGATGATCGTCCCCTGCCTAGCTATTTTTTGCGTCCCAGTCTTACTGGAGTCTTCTTCCCCGGCCCAGAAAACAAAAAAAGCACGCCCGCTCTGGCCCCAAGCCCAGGTCCCAACTCGAACGAGGGTACCCACTTTCCCAAAGGATTCTACGTAATGGCGTGCGGACGCGGACCCTCCGCTACCTGGGTTTTCCTGGGAATTTGAGAAGGATTATATGATACTTCTCAGGCCGTTATTTGCGCACCAGGGCACGAGATCTAACTACACCTGAGACAAGGATGAAGCAGCTCCGCTCCCGCGTGGAAAAAGAAAACAGTGCACCTGTGAGAGCGGATTTTAGTCGGAGGGAGGCCTAGTGGCGAAATGAATCGCGCCCTCACTTGTTGATGATTTTCCATGACCGATACTCGAGGGAGTTCCCGGTTCGAATCCGGGCTAAGTCATAAGTTTTGTGATTTCTCGACTCTGAATTCGCTCTTGAATCTCTCGCGCGGGGTTGTGAAGGTTTTGACCGTTCAAGCCGTCTAGCTTGCTAAATGCGACATATCCCCCTTGAATTTTGGGGAAGGACGAACTCGGAGATCCAACAAGCTGGACCCCTGGAAGGTCGGGGTCGAGTGTGCGCGCCAATAAGTGGTAGAACCGTGCTTTAACACACGAGAGTCGTGCCTGGATTCATGGTGAAAAGGCAAACAAACATGGAGGGCTTCGCAGTACACTCAGATGAGTTGGATTTCCTGCAATGTGTACACAAAGGAGCTGCATGTGGGGGCGAGTCTTTCAGTGGGATGTAGGGAAAGGCATCATGTTAGATAAATTGGGCGGCACGATACATTCGAGGGGATCCTGCTTCGAATCCAGACTAGGCTATAAACACTAGGGAACCCAGCTCTTTTTACCCCGAATTGAGGGATGGGTTTTGCAGGCGGACTTTTTGTGTCGGAAATTACATCATCAGTGAACCCTCACCGCGTTCAGCGTACCACCGAATCGGGGACAATATTGACTGAACGGATTTATAGCGCTGAGATGCCAGGTTGCACACAATGCAGTGGAGTGTTGGTGAGACGTGATTGGAGCGACTGGGAGTCAAGACGACTTGATTCACTCAGATGTGACGTGACGCCGTGCGGCGGGCTGATGGGGAAGGAATGAATGTAATAATTGGGCAGGGGTAATAGTTGTGCATCGCATGCCACAGCCTGCGGACGAGGATGCACCGCTACCAGGTTCCGCGCGAACGCTCCAAGGCTCGTCTGCTGCGGTGAGCAGCTGCAGACGATTAGCGAGTAATATTGGACATTGGACCTTGCGCGCGGCTTTGAAGCCGCGCTAGGAAGCACCGCGCCCTACATCCCCGCGCGAGGTACGAACGGGCCAATAGCGCGCACGGTCCAAGCGTCGTGTGTTGCCCGGGCATGCCACCACTGGGAGGGGGACGAAGCATAGGAAGCGTGCGGATAGGCGCCCATGACAGGCGCACGGCGTCGAGGAGCCCCAGGACGGTGTCGCGTGGGGGACAGCTGTGCGCGGCGCGCGTCGCACTCGGGGACGGGACTGATGCATATGGGAACGAACGGATGCACGGACCGTAGGAGCGTGTTAGGAGACTGTGAGCCCCAGTGCTCGGACGGCGCCGACGCCATCCACACGCGCGAGAGGAGCTGCTTCGAGTCCGCAGCACGCTGTCTTCTACTCCCATTCCTACTAGCCTCAGGATCCTAGTCCTTGGGGTGTTTTCTTGCGCTTACCTTCAGTGATCTTGAGCTCTTCGTCTGCGGCGCCTGCCAGCGCCGGCAATACCGAGGATGGTGGTGGGGCAGCTGTGACGACGATGAGAGCAACATGAGAGAGGTGGTTGACATAATCGCTCGAGTGCCTCTGACTCCGCTTGATGCGATCATCGGCCGCCTCCTTGCTTCCGACGGCCATCGTCAAACTGGTTCATCAGGATGTCGCTCTGACCTGCTCGGATGCTTTGATTACACCTTTCTCCTTTGTTTCGTCTCGGACTTATAGTGGCGGCGCCGTGCCCAGTATTCTCCGCCTGCTCTCCGCCTGCTGCCTGTGCCTGCGCCCCGCGGACGCGGAAGACGACTGCATATACCGTACGTCTACCCTCCTTGCCTCCCCTCCGCGATTGAGTCCGGCGTTGATCAAGATGACCGGTATTAGGTATACCCAACGAAAGCGCGCGCGTTGTCCCAGCGCTATTCTAACGGCGGGACCGGATTGATCGATCGATTGCAGCTTACAGTGCATGGCCCCCGGTGGACACACAGAAGCTGAATGAACGCCTGTGCGCGCCAAGGAGGGATGCGTCCGCTCCACCTTGCCTCTCCCCTCCTCCTCTTCACAACCTAAAACGGGGGAAGGCAGGAAAATGATCAACGTCAGCACCCGCACGCCCTTCGTCATGCGCCGCGCGCCTTCCCCTCGTTAGTTATCCGGTTTATCACTCAACTAAGGACCTGATCTCCCGCTGCGTAAATCATGACTTGATTTCTCGCTGGGAAAATCACTTGATCTCTCGCTGCGTAATGAGATGCGAATTATCCGGAATAAGATCCAGCGAGGGGAACGAGTATCACTGGGCGTTGCCCTCCTCGTGCCATCGCACGCATGGAGAGGCAGGGCTCGGCTGGGATAAATTAATGATCAAATGGCCGGGGGGGGAAGTGCAATAAATGGCCAGGGAAAAAGTACAGTCAGGACCAGTATATGCATGACCTAGCCTGGATTCGAACCAGGAGTTACAGTATGTACCTGCCGTAGGCTTTGGGTAATATTACCGAGCGCGGGTGCGCTTCCTCTCACTCCTAAGTCTTTTTTCCCATGCCCAGCACTCCTTTTTTGTTCGGGCGAGAGGAAATTTAAACCAAGAGCTTCCGCACGCCAGTGCGAGGCCCTCACACACTGGATAAAGCGAAATATTGACCTAGGTCAATATGTTAACTGAAACTAGACAAATTGGTAGCCAAATCAAACTTGATAGAAAGCTGTTTTTTCTTTTGATATGAATTTGACATGGAATTAGCCTCTATCAGCCGCTCTTTCACAAGCCATAAGTATAGGCGTGCGAGGCCGAGGCTAAAGGATACAGTACTTCAGTCCGCAGCCTGGAGTCGAACCAGGTGCCCCCGCTGCGTGTGGCTGTAATGATTTGAAACCAGGTGCGACGCCGTTTGCTACTGGGTATCTTCGCCCCTGCATATGCCCACGACAAGTGCAGCGATTCTTAGTAGCCTAAATGATGGATATGGAATGGTTGTCATGAATAGACACAACCTCATATCAGAGTTGAGTCACTATTTCACCATTCTACATTGTCTGGGAATTGTTGCAGTCCAGCTCGCTCGAGCCGCTCGCCTACATGGTGGGTGCCGACGGCAAGGTCCTGCTCTTCACTGATTATTTTTGGATCGATGGCAGACTGTCCACCCATAAATTGCAGTTTGCATCCCTCCACATCCAAGTGCCTCCAACTGCTTGCCGGTCAATCTGCGTAGCACTACCTTGCACAAAGAAGAAAAAACTGTCTCGGTGTACATGAGGCGGCTCCGAGTTGAATGGCGGGTTTCCATTTTACAGTACCTCCTCGCGGTTTTAAGAGGGGCGGATGCGGACCGTCCGCCAACTTGTCTTTCTTTACAACCTCCTTCCACCATAATCCTTGCCTCTTTGGGCAAGATGAACACCCGATTGTGTTCTCTTGCTGGAGGAAATGCCCCTCGAGCTTCCATGCTGGCACTGGAGCGCATGGCATCGTGTGAGCAGTTTGTCCGAGCCAAATGACTCAATAGTCAATCAAGTTGTGCGGTCAGACCCAAACAAAAAACCCGGTGAGCACTGAGCACAGTCCCACGACACGCCCATTTCTCAATAGGGGCAGTCAGAGTATGTCGGAAAAATCCTAAATGGGTTGTACCGCCACTCAACCGGTCCCAAGCCGTTCCAAGGCCATATTTTTTTGGTGGCTTGCAACACTTAGGTGAGGTGCACATAACCCGGTTCCAAGCCAGGTGTGGTGTTACAATCCATTCAAAGCCAGCTGAGGGATCACGGACTTGAGACTTGTTTCAACTCGTTGCAACTGGTACGCGCGGCACGGATAAAAAAAAAAAGAATAAAATGTAATTTAATAATACATATAATCGTCACGGCTACAGAATACTTCGCCGTCCACGCCGGCCGTTTTCGCGAGAGCGGCTCAGGGCTGCATACCGTTGTGAAGATGATCGCCCACTTGCGCGCAGGTGGGCGCATCCCTGACGCCACGGCGCCCGTGCGCGACTCGGACCTGTGGTCCCTCGGACGACGGCGTAAGCGCATGAGAATCCCGACGAGCCGGTACACGGACGTCCGGCGCAGCGCAAGTGTGCCGCCAAAGAGGAACCGGCGATTCTTCCAGAGCGCGGCGTGGCGGGACGCGGGGCTCGAGGGTGTGGTGGCACTGGGCGGCGTCATGGAGCGCGGCGGGCGCAGCGGGCACGAGACAGGGGAGGGATCGGACGAGACGACTGTGGACGCGGATGAGACAACCGTGGATGTGGTTGGAGATGGAGATGGACGACGGCAACGGGATCGATGATCGAGCCGAGGATGGGCTGGGAACGGGCCGTCGGACACTGCTCCGAGTTCGTAGACGAGTGGCAAGAGTGTTGGGGGGGAGGACAGCGGCATCGGCGAGGATGGCTGGCAATTCCAGGCAGGCGGGATCGTCCTTGGGGGAGCTGGTGATCTGTACGAAGTCGTGAGACCGGTGGCATGAACTTGAAGTTTAAATAGGTAAGACATACTTAGGGACCAGTGCGAGCGACCCGTGTCGCGAATGCAGTTCTTAGTGGCTTATGGATTGACCTCCGATTCGCCCGCGTCGCGCATCTTCCGTTGATCGTGTCGGCTTGCTGCTCCGTATCGACAGCGTGCGTGCGCTTGTTGCGCATCGTTGAATGACTGGCTTGGACTTGAAGTTGTTGGAAAATCCGAGCAAGATCAGCAGAGACGGTGAGTAGAATGTATCACGACGAACCCTGCGCACGGTCCGCGGTGACTTGCTGGGGGTGCTGAGTGAGAGAAGCTCATCGAGGGGAGGGCCGGGAGACGAGGGCGGACTTGGCGAGCTAGAGTTCGGCATAGTTCACAGAGTTATGTGGTGGTAAAGGAAGGGAAAGATGGTGCGTACCATGGTCTTATATAGTGCCTTGACTTGCCCATTGTTCTCGATGATCGACGAATCGGATGATGGTGGCAACTTGAAGCCACCATGACTTCGATCATGCGATGGGACTTGTGATTACTCCTCCGCGACGCGCCTCAAGACGCGATACCTAAGCCAGGATATAAGCAGCGCAAAATTAAGAGGTACACGGCAAGAGCCCAGAAAGAGCCTCCACAATGTTCATTCTGCGGCGGTCCCATCACCGCCAAGTTCCAACCAGCA